GCTCAACATCATGAAAATTAAACCTTATTTTCAATAAGCAATCCTGAAAAATATTTGGGGGTGCTTAACTTTTTTCCAGGTGTATATATATGCATTTTGAAATAAAAAAAAGCCAGGTAAATTATGATTGTTATAGAATATTGTTTTTTTGTATATATTATTATTCTGTGTTCTTAGATGCATTATTTAAGTAAATAAAAAGTATTTAATGTGCTTGTACCATTAGTATAAAAAGTAGCCTTAAGTTTTATTGGCAACTAACAGCAAAAAGATGTCAGAGGTAAGTGATATATTTCTTTTTTTTCATGTATATTCTTTACTTATTATTATAAGATTAGAAACTTGTTAGATTAGGTAAGGTTAGATAAGATAAATTAATGAAAAATCATAACAAAAATTTTCAAATATTTTGAGTCTTAACATGAAAATCACTTTGCACTTGGAGCAGTCAACACTCTGACTCCATATATTCAAGGACAAATTGTTAGTAAAAATACATAATTAAAAAATCATGTAATGTTTACTGAATCATATATAGAAGATACACGAAACATATTAAAAGTTATAGTATGGAAATTGATGGTCACTTTGGTGTTAAAAGATTGGTCATATCTTCCAAACCTGTACAAAATATTAATGTACTAATATCATAAAGATGTGTTTTGATTAGGGATTTTGTATTTCCAAGATTGGGATATCTCTTGTACTTAAAGGGCATTGGAAAACAAGGAAATATGGATCAACTTGGAGCATAAAGACCATCCAGAAAGAGACCTACAACAAGTTATACCCCAGCTGTGGTAAGCAAATGGTGGCATCTGTAACAGCTGAGAAACTATAAATACAAAGGTTACTGGCAAAAGCCAGCCCAGGTAACAGTATGCAACATATTTAAGAAGGATCTTCTTCTGGAAAAGTAACAGAAGTCATGTGTACACAATTTGCTTCCATGACATATTGACTCAACTATGGCATACCTCAAGCAGCAGAAGAGTAAAAATGGATATTCATACTATTCTGTAGACATATAACAGTCAAAACATCAGACACAACACCTATGGATTTCTCTGCAATTAGACTTTTGAAGCAGACACTCAGAAACCATTTTCCTTGTAATATAAAGTATATTTGGTGAGCTTTGACCATGATGGAAACTATTCTTCAGGGTTAATATCCAACATGGCTGGATGTAGTGCTATGAACTGTAACACACTCCATGGACCTTTGTATATATTGTATATACTATGATGAAAGTTAATTATCTATAATATTTGGAGAAAGTTTACTTACTTTTTTGTCTAATCGATATTAGTATGTATGATGCAATGAGAATGTGATTATGTTTTTACATTACACTGTGCATAGTAGTCTCAGTCATTTGCTTGTTTTTATTTAGATGGCAGAATCAATTTGAAGATAGCCTCGATTTTCTTGAGAGAATTCCTTACAACAGTTGGGAGCAGGGGCAGCTTACTTTAGAAAACCACAGAGATATACAGAACTATCTTCAACGGTCATGTGACTGTCCATTTCATCCTCTTGGTCACCTTTTAGAGGGTTTAGTGGATGTATATAGGCAAGTAATAATGATTAGTATAAATTGGAATTTTCACTACAGATTACTGAAGGCTATCCTTTAATATTATGTAATGATATACTATAATTCTTCAAATTTAGCATTTTTATTATTCTTGAAAGACTAAACAGAAAGATATTCTGATCTCCAATATCTGTTATACTCGTATGTTATTCTCATTATTTTACAGAGGCTAATCATATTAAAATAAAAAATGAAAAAATTTGTAGTATTTTTGCTGCCTCATACTTTTAAAACAGTCTTATTTTATGTTATATTTAATCCAGAGCATATCTAGTAATATCACAACTCTGATTCTCATTTTCTTAACAGTTTATAAATAAATAAATGTTTTAGCTCATGCTAGGTGTTACTGACATGTATTTGATATCTCTAAAAATTATTTAATTTTCTTTAATTATATAGAACAAGAAACATAATAATTGAGTATTTATTCAACAAAACAGATGTAATTTGGCACTTTCAGCTTCTTTGTTTTGTCCTAAGGAGCTTATAATCGTTTAAATATTAAAGGAGATAATATGTCAAATTCTTTTAAGAACTTTACTGTAAAATAGTATTTAAGGGTACGTTTAAAATCTTAAGTTTAGCCATTTTTGCTTAGTTTACCAATTTCTTGAAATTATTGTATTTATTATATCGTTTATTGTTTCATTGAACTTGTACCGTGTTATTTTTTCAACATCTTAAAGAATGTAGTTTGAAGTTGAAAGAACAATTTGCTTTTAGAAAATGTTCTTTTATAATCTAATACTTTTTAAACTTTCAGTATCAATGGTTAAGCTTAATTTATGTTGTTATCAGAGCTTCTTACCTTGGAGTAGGAGCACATCCTCGTCTTTTGGTTCATGCTGTTGCTGAAATCCATTCTTTTGTTGCGAGGATTTATAACATTGTGAGGTAATTTACAGATTTAGTCTTTATATTTGTATAATACCAGTATCCTGTTTATCTTTTTTATTGATATTTATTATTACCTTGATATTGCCAGAATTAAATGGGTTTGTGTATGCATACAAATACACAGAAAAACACTCACATACACATTAATGGTGTGTAGTCAGGGCATGCAAGTCATGCACTATATGACCCATCAGGAAACTAAAAATTTTGCAATAACACTGTGTAATAAAATGTGTCATCTTGTATTTAATCTTTTTTCTTTATTTTTTGAATCCATTCATTCTGTATGTTTTGTGTTTGTGCAACAGTCACAGCAGTATTCTCGTCTAATGCTACGTGAGTTCTGCATGGCTAACATGACATATCCAAGAGTGTCCTAGTTTCTTTAATGGTGTCGCAGTCCCTCATAAGTAAACAGCTCAAGGTATCCTGTGTTAAAATAGTATGACAGCTAGTGCATATGCATATTTCAAGGTGAACAATGTTTGTGCTACACACTTTGCCGGATTCTATGAATTATGCAAGAAATGCAAAACCCAAGTCATGTCTGTCAGGGATGACCATTATGTCAATTTAAAAAAAGGTACTGCATAAGCTGAAAGGTTGGAAAAGCTTTTATGATACTGTTATAAAAGAATTTGTACAGAAAGATCATTGGCTGAATGTTATCTACAAAGTATGTTTATGTATATATATATATATATATGTACACAATGTAGCCCCATTATAACACGATTGTTGGGGTCCATAAAATGTCATCGTGAAACAAGTGGGGTCGCGCTAAATCGGGGTTCAAGAAGATCACTGTTCAAACTGACCCAATGTTGACCTCACATCCTAAAACACCTCTATTTTCCCTTTCTGGCAAGTAAACTACCTCTGAATTAAAGAATTTTGTGAATGAATCATTGTTGTTACAGTAGATATTAAAGCACAAATTATTTTTAGTAGGTGTTTTAATAAATAAAACAACAAATAAAACATTCAAAAATATTAGCAAACATCAATTGCAGTTTGTTTCTTAAAAACTGATCGAGTGTTCCTTGCTTGAACGTAGCATGTCTCTGGCTGCGAGTAAAATCTAGAATGCTTCTGAGTTGGAGGATTTTTATGTGGTCCACCTCCTGAGTCTCCAGCCAATGCATGCTAGCCTCGAGGTGTTCAATGGCTTCAGACACTTTTGGTGGTGGTGGTGGAGGCTCTTCATTATCCTCTTCTTGTGGCTCGAGAACCGGTACACTTGCCTCTGTCGGTGCTATAGTTATGTTATGGATGACCTCGGCATCCGTCAAGTGCTCATATGTTGGGCATTCGTCGTCAGTAGAGTGCCACTGGTGTAGCTCTTTTTTGCTCCATTCAGACAGTTTCTTTGTCTCACGCACATCTTCCTCTGTGAAGCCGTACAAATCTGTCTCGTCATCATCATCTTCCGTGGTGGATTGCTGTGATGAAAAGGCTAGCCCCAGATCCTTTTTCCAGCATTTCTCGACACACAACGAGCTAACTGCTACCCAGGCCTTCCCACCTAAGTGGCAAGCTTCATTCAGCGTTGTTGAAGGATTTTGTGAAAAAAAACATTTGAAATGTATTTAGGAGGTTTTAGAGATTACACAAAGGAAATTTGAGATTTTTGAGATGACGAAAAGTATTTTTAATTTTAACATGAAAATCACTTTGCACTCAGACTAGTTAAAAAAAAAAGAAGCAATATTTTCATGGACAAATTTAATTAAAGATACTTCATTAAAAAATCTGATTTTTTGTGTTC